AGGGTTATGGGGGTGGGGTAGGGAGAGAGAAAACATGAACACAGTTTGGGATGAGCACTTGGTTAGAGGTCAATCTAGGTGCAGTCATAGGGAGAAGTTGGGGTGAATATGACCACAGTACATTGCATCTTTGTACAAAATACTCAAAGGATTAATACAAATATTTTATTTTAATTTAAAAAATTGTTTTATTAGTCCAAATTCGGAACAAGCTTGCTTCACATGCCAGTCCCTTCTCCCTCCTCTCCCCCTCCAGCCCTTCCCCCATCCCCCCACCTACCCCTCACCCCGTGGAGGCCTCCTCATTGGCATCCATGTTCAGGGGTCTGGTTTAGTCCTGTGCTGACCTCCAAGACAGCAGTCTGGGGTCCATGTGCTCCCCCTTGTTCAGGCCAGCTGATTCTGTTGGTTTCACCAGCCTGGTCCTGACCCCTTTGATCTTATTCCTCCCTCTCTGGAACCTACTTGCAGAGTTCAGTTCAGTGTATATCTGTGGATGTCTGCCTCTGCTTCCATCAGCCACTGGATGAGGGCTCTAGGATGGCATAAAAAGTAGACATCAGTCTCATCTCTCCAGCCCCAAGCATATACCTTTTAACACAACTGGTGGGTGACAGACAGTAGAGATGAGGTCAGTTCACTGATTTTCCCCTTATTCTCTCCTTGGTTTGTAATATAGTAAGTAGTTCAGAAATGATCACCACCTGTAATACCTTTAGAAATGAAATTTGTGATACAAATATTTTATTTTTAAAGAGACACTCACTCTGCCCATTAGCAGTCTCCATTTCCCCCTCTTCCAATCCTAAACTAGTCAGTGATTCTATGTGTGTAAGGACATGCCAGATTCTTCACATAAGCTGATCATGCTATTAAAAAGGCCTTCCAATAGTTGTATGGTTTTCGTATCCTTGATCTAATAACTTGCATTTCTCCAATGACTAATGATTCTCAGGGTCTCTCCATGTTCCTATATGTCCTTAATATTTTGCCCCTGGTAATGTATATGTTCAAATTTTATTTATATTTGAAAATTTAAAAAAAACTATATCTTCATGCTGCACCATGCATCATGGTGTTTGAAATTCACTGTCTTAGTGCACTGTCATGTGTCCTTTGAGCCACACTTCCCAGTCACTGCACCCCAGAAATCTGGTAATTACCGTTCTATTCTGTTTCTATTTTCTGATTATTATTTTTTGAGACAAGTTTTCACTCTATAGCCCTAGGTGTCCTGAGAACACTATGGAGATCAGGCTGACCCCAAACTCACAGTGTGGAACAGAACAGAAGCCTGGCATGGTGGCACAAGCCTTTAATCCCAGCACTGGGGAAGTGAAAGTGGTTTTCTCTTCTGTTTCTATGAGTTTATTTTTTTTCTAGACTTGGCATAGAATTGAGATCATTCATATTTGTCATTCTGGGCTGGGCTTTATTTCATTTAATGTGATCTTCCAGGTTTATCTGTGTTCCTGGAAAATGACAAAATTTTCTTGTTTTCAAATGTTTGATTGTATTTCATAATGTATATGTCTATCACATTCTTGTCAGGGTGGACACAGATGGATTTTATGTCTTCATTATTATTAACGATGCTGCAGTCAATGTAGGAGATTGCAAAGCTCTTTGACATACTTATTTACTTTTATTTCGGTAATATACTTAGTCTTGAACTGTTGAATCATAGGAAAGTAGTATGTTTGAAGTTTTAAAGGACACTTCATGGCTTTTTTGTTTCTAAACCAGTGGCTGTGTTCATCTCCACTAGCAGTATGCACAAATCATCTTGTACATCCTCAGAAATACTTGATTTAATTCATAGTTTTGGTAAAAGTCATCTTAGTAGGTAGCACCTGACATCCCATGTTTGTTTGATTTTGATATTTCTGAGGATTAGTGGTGTGTAGTATCTACAGTAGCTGAGCATCAGCATGTCTGCCTTTTAAGAAATGTCTACTCCCTTTCCAGTGTTTGAATCTGTGTATTTGTTTTCCTAATATCGAGTTGTTTGAATCCCTTACATATTTTTGGATATTTACCTCTTAGCAGATATGCTTTATAAATGTTTTCTCCCTTTCCATTGTTTTTTCATGAGCATCACTTCTTGGGAGGAAGATTCTTTCTCTACTGTCTTTATACTAATAACATTTATGGATATTCTTACTCCTTCCGGCTCTATGCATGAACTTTATGTATCTTAGAGATGTGTTGCTAGATGCATGCACATTCATGCATATTGTTTTAATTTGGGGAATCTTGCCTTTCAAAACTTAATACTATTCCCCTGTGGATTTTCTAAGATTTACTTTGATATTAATATAACTGTTTTCTTTTGTTAAAGTTCTGCATGTATTGGTCACTTTGTTTTTAACCTACGTTTGCCTTTATACATAAATAGGTTTTGTTTACAGTATGCTGTTTAGTCCTGGTGTTATGATCCAATATAATGAATGATGTTTAAGTTTTAATTGTTATAAAAAGTTTAAATTTATTGTAATTATTACTATTGTATTTCAACCCTCTACATTATAGCTATTTTACTTGTTGAGTTCCTTGGGTTTTTTTCCTTCCTTTGCACATAAATTTGAGTTTTACATTTAACTTTATTCTTGAATTATAGATTTACATTTAAATATTTTAGTCATTCATCTAAATTATATAGCATATATCTTTAATTAGGGTCTACCTTTAAATCATATACTACCTAATACATCGTATACCAAGTTTCTTTTTACCTTCACTTATTTCACCTCTAGAACTCCTTATGTGTATATATGGTCTCTTAACATGTTTTAAAAATGTAGTAAGACTTTCCTGAATGTAACAACTGTGGTGCATCAGGCCTGACTTCTAGCCATTGAAAGTTTATTTTACTCAGGTCCCTGGCATGTGTCTGATTGTTACAGTTCTCTGTAGGGTTACAAATCCTGTAGAGTTACAGGACTGTGCACTGAATATGTCATCAGAAGTTCTTATGCTTGGTCTTCAGGGTCTAAAAGGCCTAATTCAAACCTATCTTACTCTAATGCATTTCTGAAAGTTCTTTCTCAAAGTTGAAACTTAAACTGAGTGTGGCCTGTAGTTCCCTTCATGTCTCTGTTTTCTTACTGTCTTGCTTTGTTTGTGGCATGGCAGCATGCAGACCATGCTGTTCTTTGTGAAGAACTCTCATCTAACACCACACACACATGGAAAAAAGCCAAGGAATCAACTTATTTTGTTCTCCTCAGCAGATCACAAAAGGGGGGGCTCACTTCTAGCTCCTACCAATGCAAAGAAGTGCACGCTGTTCAGTCACAATGAGAATGCTGAACTCAGAACCCTCTCCCTGAAGCTTTCTGGGCTTTCTCACTCCAAACATGTATCTTTAGGGATCCTATGACTCCAATGCTTGGCTGTCCTTGAAAAATGTTATTTTCTGAAGAGTTGATTTTCTCAACAGCTCATCAAATGCAATGACCCTGGATGTGCTCCTTGGCATCAGGAAGCAAAGCCAGTAAAAATCCTAGAATTTTCTGAGAAATTTCAGTTGTGAAGAAAAGACTCTTGCCATCTTGGGCCAGGATCTAGGGCTTTTGGTAGTCATGAGCATGTCTGCAACAGACACTTTCAAGATTTCCTCTTTAAGTCATGTCCACAGCATAACGTTTTCTTTTTGTCTTTTTCCCCCTCAAGGGGTGCTACATCCATTGTGTACAGATGCAAACAGAAGGGGACCCAGAAGCCCTATGCCCTCAAAGTGTTAAAGAAAACAGTAAGTTCATTTTGTTATATAATAGTATCTCTGGGAGACCGAGAAGCGAGAAATCAGACTCAAAAGTTACAGGGGACATGAAGAAGCCAATTGTTGTCTGATGGAAGCCACAGGAGAAAGTCGCTGGGTCTTAAACTGGGTGTGATTTGTGGAGAGAAGGATGGAAAGAAAGGAAAACCGTTAGAGCAGGGAGTTAAGTGCTTTGTATGTGAGCTGTGCCCATGGATCTATGTCCATATTTATGGAGTCAGATTACAAGCCAGCATTTTAATATGCTAGAGTAGCCTGTGACTTAAAAGAAGATGAAATGAAACTTAAATGTCTGTATTTTGAAAGGAATCTTCTGCTTCTAATCTACCTTTCTAAGGTTTTCTAAGCTTGGTTGTGTTTTAGAGATGTTTGACTGGACAAATGTTACTGCTTCTTAGGCTAGACCTTCAAATTTGGACAAGAAAGTAAGTTTTTGTTCCAGAGTTTCACTTCATTTGCCTAAGCTTGTAAGCGAGCTAGACAAGTGTCCGTGTCTAAGGCTTCCTTGTAACGATCATGAGAAGCCTGGACGCCTGTGAGCACACATCTTGGGTGGTGTCCTTCTGTGATACTCCTTCAGCAGTATGGCCCTTTCTGGTCTTTTCTGTTTAGGAGCTAGATTCTGCACATAAAACTACAAAAAGACAAGACATACTTTAGGGCATAGTGTTCCCTTGTCAAATTTTATGTGAACAGATATGGGAAGTGCTTGGATTTCTGAAAACCTAGTTGTAAAGTGTCCCAAAGAGAGATGTGTCAGACGTTTCAGTGGCAAGTGATAGCCTTTTGCAGGCCAAAGGAGGCTCCAATGCCCTAAGGGCAGCTTGTTTTCACCAGCTGTTGATGTGTTGTCTAGCACAGGGAAATCTTACAGTTTCATGTGATGAAGAACTTAACAGCACAGGATTTTAGCCAACTAGAGACAAAATGACACTTTTAAACAGTCTGTTGGAATTCTAAGCTATAGCAAAAAAAAAAAATCCCACAGTTAAATCAGAGTAGATAGCAATTTAAGTGTCAATTAACACATAATAATGTCATACATTAAGTTTTCTAACTGATATAAAAATTTCTTAAGTCAATCCTAAATGTACAGGAATATTTTATTGAATGTTTGTAACTTTTTACATACCAATTTCTGTACCATAAACTTTCCCAAGCTAAGTATTATTTAAAATTTTTTGAAATATAATTTCCTATTAAATATCCTATTTTAAGAAAATGAATCAGGTGGTTTTAGTAGTAAACTTACATGTTATATTTAGAATTGGTGGCTATGTATTTTCTTATTGGTTAAAAATATTAGTAAATTGAGCTGGGCCCACGCCTTTAATCCCAGCCCTCGGGAGGCAGAGGCAGGCGGATCTCTGTGAGTTCGAGGCCAGCCTGGTCTCCAGAGCCAGTGCCAAGATAGGCTCCAAAGCTACACAGAGAAACCCTGTCTTGAAAGAACAACAAAAAAAATTAGTAAATTGGCATGTTGTTTCCCTTTTCTTATTTTCACAATTGAGGAAACTTTGAAAAGGTACAGATAACATAAAATTCTAGGAAACAACCATTTAAAAATGATTTGTGTGAAGCTGGACATGGTGGTGCATCTTGACACTTGATGTACAGAGGGTTGCAGGTTCTAGGCCAGAGTGGGCTACACACTGAGTGACATCTAAGAGATGGGGGGAATTTCCTTAAAGCCACCAGAGAGCATGTGGATGGGAACCAAGTGTCAGGTGGAGCTGGAAGGCAGATGATGTCAAACACGGTTAGTTACTGCTGTGCCAAATGGAACGAGAGAAAAAGCCCTGGAGGAACCTTGGCTCTGGATGTGAATTAGATGGGGTTCCCAGCTTTGTCTTTTAGAATAAACCATGCTTGGGGATATGTAAATGAGAGAAATAGCAGGCAAAGCCACAAAGAGCAAATTGCCTCCAGCATTTAATTTCATATAGGTCATGGAGATAGAAACTTCCCTTCCTGAGGAAAGGGATGGGTGCTATGAATCTGTTTACAGAGCAAAGCAATTAAGAGGAAATATTTCCTTATAGCATTCAGCAGAGGTTTTGTACCTGAGGACAAAAAAGATTGGGGTGTTCAGAAAGGTTGACTTATTTATATAATCTCTCATGTCAGGCCACATAAAATTGCCTCAATTAAACCATTTCTGACCTAGAGTTCTGTGTTATTGAGGTAACAACTATGGGTCTACATACAACCTTATTGAGCACTTCCTAATATTCCCATTTAATGATTAAGCATAAACTTAAGAGGCTTTGAATTTAGTCTGACTAAAACTATGTATTATTTATCTATCTTCCTATCTACATACTACCTATCATCCATCCATTGATATATGTATGTATCATCTGTCTGTCTGTCTGTCTGTCTGTCTGTCTGTCTGTCTATCATCTATATCCATCTGTCATCTATCTATCTCCATCCATCATCCATCTAACCATCCATCCATCCATCCATCCATCCATCCATCCATCCATCCATCCATCCATCCACCCATCCACCCATCATTGCATGATAAATTAACAGAAATAGCAAAACAACTACGAAAATTTGGTGGCTTAAAAGAATATACATTTATTTTCTTCAGTCCTGGAAACTAGATTTCCAAAGCCAGCATTGTCAGAGACAGTTTTCTCTGAGGCCCTGAGAGAGAATCTTCTCCATGTTTCAGGCTTCAGGTGACAGTAACCCATCCTTGGTGTGCTTTGACTTGTAGATCATCCCTCCAGTTTCTGCCTCTGTTGCAAAATGGCTGACTTTTCCTATATTTCTCCATATAGTCTTTCCCTGGTAAGGTGTGTGGTACAGTGTCACTCATCTTGTAGGAATACCAGTGCTGTTGTGTTGCAATGACTTTTATATCTGTTATATATAACTAATTGTATCTGTGATAACACAATTCTGCCCATCATATTATCAGATAGGATAAGGTTAGTTTCAAACTAGCCTATCTAATATTGTAGGTGATGATGAATATATTTCATATTAAAATGCAAATAAATACAAAGAAATTTACCTAGCTTCTAAGTCAGTGGTTCTCAAACATTCTACCCATTTGAGGGTAGAATGCCTTTTTCACAGGGATTGTCTAAGACCATTGGAAAACACAGACATTTACATTATGATTCATAACAGTAGCAAAATTCAGTTATGAAGCAACAATGAAATAATTTTATGGTTGTGGTTACCACAACATGAGGAACTGTATTAAAGGGTTGAACCATTAGGAAGGTTTAGAACCACTGTTCTAAGTCATTAACTTAGTATCTGTAAGTTATTAACTTGCTATAAAAACATGCTAAGTAAAATGTTATCTCCTTTTAGAGTTAATTGTTTAATAATAATAATTATGTTTCTCAGGATCTGTTTAAACATTTTTATTGGAATTCACCTTAAATCATTTTATAACAATACCAAGTTTCTGTCTCATACCTTAATATTTTTGGAATTATTTTATACTATCCATAAGAAAATTATTTCCTATTCAAAAGCTTTAATCATCATTGAGAATCTGTCCCACACTCAAATCTTTGGGTGATAGCCAAATGCTTGGTTCTCCCAGAGGAATATATACTAAAGCCTTGACTCTTAGGGAAAATATCAATGCTGCTGATAATCCAAACAAAACAGAGTTAGAATTGACAATAAGCACACAGTAAACTCTCATGTTTAGACAAGTGGATATTTTTCCTAGTAAAATATCCTTTTGGGAAATTAACATGTAATTATGTTAAGAAATCTTTTAAATTAACATACATTTGTATATGTCTGTAGCACCATGTATTTTCTATGTACATAACTAAATTTCAAAGAATTAAAATACATTAGACTACACATTTACTAGTGTCATAATAACTTTAATTTATGTAGCCTGTTTAACAACAAAAAGGCATGTGAGTTTATGTGTATATGTATGGGAACAGAGAAGAAAGAAAATATGGCAAACATCAACAATTATTGGATGTAGGGCACAATAATAGTATTCATGATGGTGTGTCAAAAGTTCAGTAGACATGAGCGTTCATTCTCATGATGAATGGTGCTTTTTTGGAGACAAGCACCATTGAATGTTTTGCATATTGAAAACCACTTGGGCACTTCCTGTATTAACAGCCATTTGTCTCATGATGGGGTTAAAACATAAACAGTCAGAATAAACAAGGGAAGAAAAGGGGTTGGAGTATTTTTCTGTTCCATTTTTATTACCCCCATCCCACACACACTGAGTACTAAACACTACTGTGGTGGTAAGTCTACTCAGTAGGTTTGACTCTTATCCCCCCTTCTGCATGGGTTTGACCTAGTTTTTAACCTTTTTATTAAGCAGTATTAGACTCACTGAAAATACCACTTTGTTCCTCATAAATAGCACATTATCTCAAACATTAGAACTAACTGGCTTGCAGTTGCCACTGAGTTTTTTATTTATGGACTTTCTAAGTCATAAATCAAATATGAACAGTGAATTACTTGCTGGCAGTGGATGTCCTTCTCTCTGTGTCTGCCAAATAAATAAGTAAATATACTTTTCAACAACAACAAACTCACACTCAAGACTGTATGAAAGCAAAGATATTAATTCAAGTAGCAAAATTTGAACATATTAAGCTTAACATATTCATCATGGACTGAATTTTGCTAGATTAATGGAATCTCCACTTTCAAATAATGGCACAGGGACAATGGGGTTGTGTTTTAGGAGCAATCCATGTAGATGGAAGTCACCTTTTATCCTTTAAAAAATATACCTCAGAATCTATATGACTCTGTAAATATAGCTTGTTTTCAAAATAAATAGCTTGATATTTAAGAAATTTATGTTCTCTGATGATTTATACCCTCTGGAAATTTAGAGACTGTTAGAAAAGTTTCAGAAATCAGATAAAATCTCCAGCTGTGTGGCTCAACACCTGAGAAGGTTATACTCTTCTAACTGTAAAATCCATTCTTTTATTAAA